TTCGCTGTCTCATCCCACGTTCCCCAAGCCCTGCCGGTCACCCCGGGGGGTTTCCAGGGGACACCCAGGACCCCTCGGCCTCCCCGGGCCCCCCCGAGACCTCCCTGGTGGGGGGAGTGTCCCTGAATCCCGATTCCCGAGGGATGGATCGGCTCCTCAGCTGCTTTCCCACCGGAGCTGCCCCGTGCCGGCTGTTCCAGCCCTCGGAGCGCGTTCCCAGCTCCAGCTGCTGGGGCACTTTGAAGTGTAGGTGTGACCTGCTTTCTCCAGAGAGTTGTTTTTGGGGCCAGCACGGAGCCAGCGCTGCAGCCCAGGCTCTGGGAACGATTCCCTCTTGCTGGGGTTGCCTCGCACAGGGCGGGGGGGCTCCTTTTCCTCAGGGGTTTGGTGCTCCTTGAAGGGCCCTCCGAGCTTTGGTGGGGCCTGAAACCTCCTTCATCCTGATCTGGTGCTCCTTTATCCTGTTGTGGTGCTCCTTTATCCCATCCTGGTGCTCCTTTATCCCACTCTGGTGCTCCTTTATCCCACTCTGTTGCTCTTTTATCCTTCCTTGGTGCTCCTTTATCCCGTTCTGGTGCTCCATTATCCTGTTCTGGTGCTCCATTATCCCACTCTGGTGCTCCTTTATCCCACTCTGTTGTTCCTCTATCCCACTCTGGTGCTCCTTCATCCTCTTGTGGTGCTCCTTTATCCCACTCTGTTGCTCCTTTATCCTTTCCTGGTGCTCCTTTATCCCACTCTGATGCTCCTCTATCCCATCCTAGTGCTCCTTTATCCCACTCTGATGCTCCTCTATCCCGTTCTAATGCTCCTTTATCCCATCCTGGTGCTCCTTTGTCCTTTCCTAGCACTCCCTTATCCTGTTCTGATGCTCCTTTATCCCATCCTGGTGCTCCTTTATCCCACTCTGGTGCTCTTTTATCCCACTCTGGTGCTCCTTTATCCCGTTCTGTTGCTCCTTTATCCCCTCCTGGTGCTCCTTTATCCCGTTCTGTTGCTCCTTTATCCCACTCTGGTGCTCCTTTATCCCATCCTGGTGCTCTTTTATCCTGCCCTGGTGCTCCTCTATCCCACCCTGGTGCTCCTCTATCCCACCCTGGTGCTTCTCTATCCCACCCTGGTGCTCCTTTATCCCCTCCTGGTGCTCCTTTATCCCCTCCTGGTGCTCCTTTATCCCACCCTGGTGCTCCTCTATCCCACCCTGTTGCTCCTTTATCCCCTCCTGGTTCTCCTCTGTCCTGCTCCGGTGCTTGGATGGTGGTACCCAAAGGAACCCAAATCCCCCCCAGCCCCTTTTAAGACCTTTGGAGAACTCCCCAAGCCCAGTCAGGGCCGCTGGGGCTGTGACCTTCCCCGAGCTGCACGTGGCAAACCAGATCCACCAGGCTGAAGGTGCTCCCAGATGTTGCCACATCTCCTTTCCCAGGGCCCCAGGGCACGTCTCCTTTCTCCCGATGAGGGACAGGGAGCCCTGGGAATGGGGCTGCTGGGGAGCCCCGTGACCTCAGAGCAGCTCTGTGCCCGCACAGCCCCCGTCCCCCAGCTCCATCCTGCCCCCGGGGCTGCCCCTGGGCCCGTTTTCCACCCCGGGAGCGTGTGGAGTTTAATTTCTCCCCGTTAAAACAACCCAGATCCGCACAGTGACCTGGGAATCCCAGAACCTGCTGAGCTGGAAGGGACCCACGGGGTGGACATCAAAGGGGGATCCCACTGGTTCCAGCCCCAGCATTCCGTGAGAAGTTGGATCTCTGAGCTTTTCCATCTTTTTATCCCACCCCGAGCTTCCAGGTGTGGGAATCCAGGCTGGGAGGAGGCACCTCCCGAAGGGACATTTGGGGTCCTGGGGGCACTTCCCCAGGGGCAGGAGCACCCCCGGGAGATGAGGATTCGGGTTCCAAACCCCCCAGGGCTGCTCGGGGGGGAAATGCCCCTGGGAGACGGGGATCCGAGGGGATCCGAGGGGATCCAAGGGGATCAGAGGGTCTGGATGCTCTGGGAAGGAGGGACCCCCCTGAGCGGTGAGGATGAGGAGGGAGGGGAGAGGTGAGAGATCCCAGTGAGGAGGGAGGGGAG